ATATTACATGTAAATTATGGAATCACACACATTAAGGTACATTGGTCGCAGCAGTGACAAACGCAGATGCCAGTTCTATGTGTCGTTATCAATAACCCTCCGTAGGTCTAGATCTAGACAGCACACGAGTGAACACAACACATTACGTTTAAGAGCAGCACCCTTCATAGGCTACACATCATATCTGTAGCGAAAAACTGTTTGGAATTGTAGCATTTCTTTATATAAATATTTACTGCGGACATTTTTTGGACCGATTGAACCATATTGTATACGAACAATCTTTGGTAGGCCTATACTATAATTATAGATCTATATAATATCTGAAATTTGCGGGAAAGGATGAGATTTCACAATGTTCGGAGAAATAGTGCCCAGCTTTATTTTCCCGAACGTTCGGAGAAATAGTGCCTAGCTTTATTTTCCCGAACGTTCGGAGAAATAGTGCCTAGCTTTATTTTCCTGAACGTTTGGAGAAATAGTGCCCAGCTTTATTTTCCAGAACGTTCGGAGAAATAGTGCCGGCCTTTATAATATTCTGCTCCACTCTTTGATAATTTTTGTTGGAGCGTCAATTGTCACAGAGTGACGCGGTGGCAATTGACAAACATTGACTTTTTGTCAGTTACCACCGAGTGAAGCGGTGTCAAGTCTGAAAACAACACTGTCTTTAGCATACATCATAATGTGTGTCTAAGGGGTCAATTTGTTCTCAACTAATTTCACTGGACGAGCATCTAGTCTAGAGCTACGGTACCAACTTGGTGTGTTTTCAATGAGACGTAGGCCTAGATCTAGGCTAGCCTAAGCCTCCACTTTGGTGTAGAACTAACACAGGCAACTCTAGAAGTAGAAGATTACAAACGCACACAAACTCAAGCAGAAATTCTTGTTATATCGGGGGGCGGGGGCCAGGAAAAGACACACACACACACACACACACACACACACACACACACACACACACACACAGACACACAGAGAGAGAGAGAGAGAGGGACAGAGAGTCGAACGCACAACACCGAGCACTCGAGTACAATAAGCTAAATCTACCCACCAACGCAAAAGAACTCCGATTTACTCGGTGGCAATTGACAAAAAGTCAATTTTTGTCAATTGCCACCGCGTGCCACTACCATTTTTGTAGCAATGCTCACAGAGCGCATTTTGTACTGCCGAATTTTGGCCCCGCTGCGGGGGTGTTTCGTGGGACGAACTAACTCAAAGGTTGTTGTCTTCAACTCGCTCTCACGCCGCTTCTCGTGAATGGATATGAATGAAACTTGGCAGCCAATCAGAAAAGAGGTCAATCTCATAGTATGCAGTTTGACAACATTGTACCCATCCTAGAAGTAGTCGAAAACGTTTGCGAAAGTGGTTGATGTGGTGCCCTTTGAAGATTTTTCGGAGCTGTGATTTGTCAAACTGACTGATACGTTGTGCACCATTTTTCTTTATTCCCTTAAAATTTCATGCTTCTGTGTTTAGCGGTCTTGACGTAATCTTTAAAAATATGGGAGTAACTAAGGGAAAAAATGGCATTGCCATTTGCGCGTACTGGGTGAACGGCCGGCGGCTGGGAAATTTCCACTGAGTGACGTCATTAGCCATCGGTCGCCTCGGGCGCTACGGACGAGGCCCCGCTTATGTGAATCGGAAAGGGGGGGAAGGATACTTGAAAACTAAACGGGGGCCTTGATAACTTGAGGGAGGGAGGGAGGGGGAGAGAGAGAGAGAGAGAGAGAGAGAGAGAGAGAGAGGGTGTGGTGTAAATATGTTACATTTATAGTATGAGTTGTAGCCTACACATGCGAAATATTCCCATGACTTGTAAACTATATTATCTAAACGCATCTTAATCTACCACACAATTGGACACTGTCCAACAATGGATATACACAGAGACGATCTTATTTTCTATAACAAAGTATGCATACTTTTACTAGTAGAGCACAGGATTTATTAGACTAATAAATCCAGTTCTCTACTTACATTTTTGTGATAAATTGATCCAAAGCATTGCTTGGCAAGGAGGAACCTTTTATGTTGCCAAGTTTCATTTAAATATCATGACTTTGGGAGAAGATATTATGACTGATAATCTTTGTAAATCTGTAAAGAACGCCTCTTTTTTACCTGTTAATGTTTTACAACTCAAAAGTATGATAGATATTAAAAGTCTGACAGCATGACTAGATTCTGCATCAAATACTGTACTAGACTGCCAAGTTTCATACTCCAAGAAATAGACGAGCCTATACAAATATTGTCTCAAAACGCACCGAAAACCGCCACATTTATACCTATAAACGTCTTCATAACTCAAAAAGTAGGATAGCTATGAAAAATCTGAAAGCAGGACTAGATTCTGCACTAGAAAATGTACTGGGTTGCCAAGTTTTATTTAAATACTCCGAAAAATGAGCGAGTTATGACGAATATTGTCTCAAAACTCACCAAAGAACGTCCCATATTTTGGTTTTTTTTCATTATATATAAAAGTGTACCAAAAATTAATTGATTAAAGAATTCGTAACTTTTTTGTTTATTGATGGATTTCAAAAATTCAAAAAGTTCCATGCTCTGTGGAGATAGAGCTACAAAATGCACCTATTTGCAAACACCTTCTGGCAAAAAAAAGGTTTTTCGTGGTCATTGCTAATTTTTGTTGTGCTTTCACTAAGGCATTTAAGGCCACCTCTATTCTCACCCCGGGTGAGAATATTCTCACCCCGGGTGAGAATAGCGCAGACGAGTCTTTTGGAGAGAGAGAAAGAGAGAGAGAGAGAGGAGTAGCGCGAGAACTTCTGTGCAAAACAAAATGGCGACCCGCGTAGTTCGGCTCAATTCGGAAAGTTAAATAGCCAAAGCATCTTTATAGACGACCAAATTAATTTAGTTTTGTGTTTTAACTTCATCTTTTAACTTTGTTTTGGTCAATTTGATCGTCCACATCGATAGACAGTATTCAGAAAGAGACAGAGAGAGAGGGGAGGAGTGGATCTTGCGAGAACTTCCGGGCAAAACAAAATGGCGACCCGCATAGTTCGGCTCGATTCGAAAAGTGAAATAGCCATAGCATCTTTGAAGACGATCAAATAGTTTACTTTTGTGCTATAACGTAATTTTTTCGGAGTGCTTATTGGCCCACGGGGGCATATAAAATTTCCCCGAGAACATTTATTATTTGCCCACAAAATTGTGTCTTATCTCCCCTGTGTTTGGCGCCCCCCCCCCCCCCCCCAATTCCACAAAAATGATAATTTTAAATGAAAATGCAACAGCAAAATCCCCTTTAAATATCAGAGAAATTATTTTATATTATAATTATACACTTCTCTAAGGCTTTTTAAAAAGTTAATATTATATTTTATACCAGAAAGTAAGTCAATTTCTACTATATTCAGGAAGTATAGATCTAATATCTAGATCTTGAATGACTCCCAAACCAACAAGATATAAAGATAACAAAAACTCATTTGTGTAATTAAGTATAATTAAGGATACAGAATGCTAATAGTAATAGCCGTATTTATTATTTCTTATTTAATCTTAATAATCAAAAACTATTAAAGCTAGAGAAAGAAGTCCTCTCATCTTCAAAAATAGCTCAACAAATTAGTCCATCAATCACATATTTTAAATTGAGAATGTATAGTTTTCCAATCTAATGCTAAAAATAAAAAGATGAACAATAGCTAAGAAGTTAGAGAACAAGTTGGGACAATACCCTGTATGGAATACTTTGAAAAACAACGCATAAATGGCCCATATGGGCCAATAAGCCCCAGCTTATTTGCCCATGTGGGCCAATAAGAGCAGCCTAATTTTTTTCTTGGCTTTTATAAATTTGATCATCCTCACCGATCGACAGTATTCCGAAATGAGGAAAAACAGGTATTGTTTCACACCGGGTGAGAATAGCCTACGCTGGCAAGTCTCACCCGGGGTGAGAGGTAGATCGTATTTTTATTCTCACCACGGGTGAGTATAGCCACTTCCTTCACTAAAGCCTGAACTGGCATAGAGATGATAGAGATCTTCACAGGTTGGGAGACATGCGATTAAACGTAGAAAGACACTAACTATTTTTAGATAAGGCACCCATCTTGTTTGACGTCAGACCAGGATACCCCTCCAATCATGTGACTACATCTAATCTAAGTATAGCCAACCGCATGGCACCAAAGATGGAAGTGTAGATTTATAATGTATATCATGCTTTTCCTTATCTACACCTCTGTCTTGGAAGTTCTGATGGCAGAATAGACAGCGCGTCTGCGTTTGAAGTCATGCAATGATTTTTGGAGCGGTTCGATCCCGGTCCGGGACAGTTTTTTTTTTTCCTTCTCCTCCTCCCGACTGACCAACAGTCCCATAAATTATAGATCTAGATCTAGGCCTAATTTGTAGAGTTGCTTTGAAGTTGTTGTTTAAAAAAAAAATATATATATTAGTAGTGATTAAAAATGCAGGAGAGGGGGGGGGGGGCAGGGGGTGGTAGATCTAGATCTAATCCTCCCGCATCTTTACGGCAATTTTTGTGCGGTGTTCCATTCCATCTTGTCCAAGTAGGCCTACTATCTAGATTTTAGATCTAGGAAATCGGAAATGTTACCGAAAACACGTTGTTCCATGTGGGTATCCCAGGAAGTGATGACATCACAGTACTAAAATTAGCAGCCAATCAGAAAGATGCGTCTTTTCTATGTTTTAAAGCGGCATGTGGTTGGGAGTTCGGTGACATGCGGCTAAACGTAGAACGACGCACGCTATTTTTAGGTAGGCTAAGGCGGCCATCTTGTGTATGACGTCAGACCCGGATACCTCTCTGATCACGTGACTACATGATCTAAACATACCCAACCACATGGCACCAAAGATCGTGTATAGGCTACCTAGATCTACCATGGCACCTTGTTTGGTACAATGTTTTTCCAGGCAGGTAATGTACAGGTTTAAAGTAATGTGATATGATGAGGTGCTCCAATGATGCTGCTGCTTATCTCTTCTGCACTTTGTTTATCGGGCACTGGGGAGGGGGGTAATCTCCAGGCGTCTTTTATGGTAAATCCGGTAATTTTCACGTGCTTTATTGTCTTTGCGTTAAAACTGTTTTTCAATTTCAAGCAAGATGAGCATTCTTATTGAACTGTTCTGAACATCAGCAATCTAAGCCTTAGTGCGATCTTCCAGTTAGCCGAAAGTGTGAAATTTTATCGAGCGAAACACTTGATACGGATAATAATGATAATAGGTCAAGCCACTGACCCAACATGTTGTTCCATGCGATGTCTCCAAAGATCGTGTAGTGTATAGTGTAGTAGAGAATCTTTGTACATCTCCGCGGTTGTCTAAAAATAGTCTGTGGGTATCCCAGGATGTGATGTCATCACATTACTAAGATAAGCAGCCAATCAGGCAGGTAAGTCATTCTACGTTAAGCAGCATGTGGTTGGGTGGGTAGGGCCTACAACTACAAAACCAAATCAGACAGGAACACATCAGATTGTGAGCTTGTTGGTACTATACACATTGTTTCTTTGATCGTCGTCGCTGTTGTTTTTCATTTCATCCCAAAAGCACAACAATGATTCAAACAATGTTTTGGATAACAAATGCAGCTACAAATTTACGCCTAGCGGGGTTTGTACCTTCTCTTTGAGATTTGCTACAGAGGTGGTGGTATGATTACATATTCACTGGAGTGGATGATATGTGACACAGTGGGCAGTACAATGCCCTTGCAAATTTTTTCTACTTGGTTGATCAACTGCATGCCTGCGTTTTTGTACACGGATCATAGAGAGTAGAGAGATTATCCTCTGAAATGCAGGATCTTAGTAGAATGTATGCCTAGTCCTTCAGAGCAGAATCTTAGGGGTGATTTTTGTGCTGGCCTAGAAGAAATTGTTTTCTTAAAGTAGGGAAATGGAGATTTGACGTAAGCCATGGAATCTAAGACAGAGACTGAACTGTAATGGCATGATGGCATATATTTAAATTTGAAAGCACCCCAGCCACCACGTCATCGTCATATTTTTGTCTTAGGTTATAATTCTCTTTTAATGCTCCCTTTTCTATCTTAAGATTTACTCATCGATGTGAATTTCTAGGTAGGCCTATAATATGAAAGGAGGAGGCTCACCATTCAATATAATAGCAATCATGATTCAGCGATTAAGTGATTTTTTATTGTTAGTGAGACAGCCTACATGACATAATCAGTGGCGATCCTAACCTAAACAATTGCTGCCATGTTTTATGGTTGCACCCTACTGATGAATGTTAAAGAAGAAATTATTATTATAGTATTTTTGTGGTAAATTTGCAATTATAATATATTGAATTGGATCCGTTTGTCTTACAGAGAGTGAGAGCAATCAGTGATTTTCTCATCGTTTTTAAGCATGATTTGAATAAATTTGATCACCAAAAATCACTGCAAATTAACCCAAATATGAGAAAATAGTTGGAAAGCCCTCTCAAAATTCCCCATTTTTATGCCAAAATTCTAATGTTTTGAGGGCCAAATTCATCCTACAAATGAGGCAAAACCAACCCTGCCAGATGTAAAATATAGAGATAGGAGAGCTACTTTTGCTTGCAAATTATTTTAATGAAATTTTTATTGTTTTACAGCCGAAGCCTGTCAGGAAAAAGAAGCATTTCATCCGCAAGAAAGAATCTACGACCTATCGCCTTATCCCTGGTTATGTTGATGACGAGGATGAAGGAACGAAGCCTTGTGGTGAAGAGGTATGCTTTTGTCACCATTTTGTGTTGCCTTGTTGTATAGCTCTGGTTAATGTTGCAAGGAAATAAGTGATTGTGGTGCACAGTTAATAAATCTGGCAGGTATATATTTTGTTTTTAATAACATTTTCTGCCATAGTTCTTATTCCTTTTGTGTAGAAAAGAGTTGCAATGTTTGTTGTACAATTGATTCAATATGCACCATTGTATGACATGAAGAAGTTTTAACAGCTTTAACAATTATCGTTGTGTAAGGTCATAGATGTTGACTCTTATAAAATAACATTCTGCTGTCGCTGTCATTGTATTCTTTTAGATATATATATCAGTTTCTGATGAAAATCTTATTTTACATATTTTTTTCTTCTTCTTCTGTTTCGTTTTACTTTTATTTATTTTTGTTTGTATTTGCATTGTGTGTGTCTTTCATTAAAAAAAAAATGCTTTCACCAGCTGGAGAAGAGAAAAGAAGAGCAAAGGGAGTTTGGAATATTCTATGACGATGAGTACAACTACATGAAACATCTGAGATCTGTCAATGAGCAGGCCACTCTAGTCAGTACAGAAAGCTACCACATTGATCCTGAGGATGAGGTTGGTGTTATGTGCTTTTTAAAGAATTCGTCAGTCTTTTTTTTTACTTACTATTCGGTCATGAATACATTCAGACTTCTTAGATGATGTGGTCTGTCTTAGTAACAGTTTTTTCCCCCCAGGTGGTTATGTATATATGAACCATTTTCCAAATGTTTTGTAGAGTATATAATTTGCTATGAAATAATGTGAGGCAGCGTGAAATCAGACGCTCATCAAAATAATCAAAATGAAGAAACTTGCATTTCCCCGCAATTTGTGAATTTTTGTTTTTTTACTCAACACCTTTCATGTCCAGTAAAGAACACATTTCTGTGTGAATTTTACTTAAAAGCGTTAATTAAAGGCCCAAAAAATGTCAATGTTCAATTTCCACGGCCGGACTCTGAGCTAAGGAAAAACTATAAACTTTGGCGTCAATTTTCTCACTAAGCTTACATCTGAAACCAGGTGACCCCCACCTCCTTCAAAGACCCATATATCTCGACTTGTATCCAAGATAAATGTGAAACTTCATTGTGAAATCAGGCGCTCGTCAAAATAATAAAAGTCGAAAGAATTGGCATTTTTCCGCCTGTTTGGAAATTTTACCAATTTTTTTGTTTTAATTGCTCAACACCTTTTATGTCCATATAAAAACATATTCATGTGTACATTTTACTGAAACTCGTTGATAAGAGGCACAAAAAAATAATTTCCAAGGACTCTCTAGCTTTGGAAGTCACTAAACTTTGGTAGCAATTTTCTCGCTAATTTTACCTCTGAAACCATGCAACCCCCACCTCCTTCAATCACAAATATCTCGACTTTTATTCAAGATAGATGGCTATTTCTTCATGGAAAGCAATATAAATAAGCAGGTTTTAAGATTGTACCAATAACTCCGTATGCCCAAAAATTGACAAGTGCCTGATTCCACCGTTTTGTGACTCAAACGGATATTTTTCTCATCGAAAGCAAAACAAATGAACAAGCTTTAAGCAGATACCAATAACTCCACATGCCCAAAAATGGACGAGTGCCTGATTGCACCTCATCGTGACACATATAAGACATATAAGAAAACAAGGAGAATATTTCTTTGAAGCAGTTTGTTTTGTGAAATTTATTTATTACCATATAATGACATATTCCTACAGACAGCTTGTGAAACTGGCCCAAACCCCTTGGGGGGGGGGGGGGGGTGCTACTGACTGAAGTGTCTTTAGGCAATTCCCAAAGGGGGGGACATTAACATCTCGAGTTCTTATCAGGGCTTCCAGTCTTCCGCAATTTTGCGAATTCCCGCAAATTAGCAGAATTCCGCAAATGGAAAATTTCCGTGAAAAGTCGTGAAAAAAAAAAGCGAAATAAAAAATTTCTGTTATTGCCAATGCCAATAGTCAACAATAGCCAACCCTTACCGGAAGTGCTCTTTTATTTGAAAGTGTAGACTGTCTTTCACTTTCACTTTCTAAAGCTCAAGAAGCAGAGCACCAGCTCTGTAAACAATAGAAAGAAATGACGATTGTGGTTCAATAGATCTTGGGCCTGCCAAGAAAAGAAAACTCTGAAGAGAGCTTGATGTTTTTTTTACCAGACTTGTTTATTTGTAAGTATTGTTGTGGATTTAAGTTGAATATAAGCTGTCAAGTTATTTAGATCTAGAATCTAGATCAAGTCAAGCTGTTATACTATTATTATAAGGATTCTACACCTTATGATGATTATGGTGCTAACCAACACAAGCAGAAAAAAGTTGAACATTGTAGATTTAGTTGTGGATGTACAGTATCTGTACCAGGGAGAAATCATGGCTTTGGATTTGGAAATATATGGATTAACACAAGCAGAAAATTATGTAGGCCTATGCAAGGTATGTTTTTTTTCTCACTTATTTTCTTGTTAAGTTTAGGCTTGAATAGCCAGAAATGGCATAATTAGACTTTGTGCTGAGGTGAGCAAAGTAAGTCTGATTCCCTCTAAGGGCTTGTCTGTTGACATCCACCCCTTGGCGCTCATATGGCCTTATGCAGTTGCGAGTACCCTTAAAACCTCTACTAAAACATACAAGCTGGCCCAAAGATAATGATGACAGGGAGAGCTTCTTAGCTGTCCATGCCCCATAAGGGGCCAAAGTTGGAAGAAGAAAAAAACAAAACAACTGTGCACACACACACAAGACTGAGCAACATATGTACAGATCATGACAGATGTTTTAAACTAGCACAATCACCAAAATGCCAGTGTGGAGAGGCGGACCAAACTATTGAACACATCCTTCAGCACTGCAAGACACACAGGGCCCTGAGACAGGAAACTTGGCCAACCCCACTGACGCTACAAGAGAAGCTATATGGGCCGACAGATAAACTGAATAGGACGGCCCAATTTATGAAAGGTACCAGACTTCAAGTGTGATGCGATCGAGAAGAAGAAGAACTGTGCACAAATTTTAACTGTTCAGCCTCCACCCACATGCCTTTTCTTTTTCCTCACGTGTCCCCTCAACTGAGCATGCACCAATGATAGCACAGTGAGAGTGCATGTGAATGCAAATACAAAATGTCATAAAAATGACAAATTTGATAGCCTAGTCTTGATTCTCTTTTTCCATTTTTTTCCTTCACAGGTCAGATCACATGCTTCCATGCCTTTTCCTTTCAAAGAATTTTTTTCTACGGATGAAACTGAAGGTATGCTGTTATATTTCTAAATTTATTCCTTAGGGGTGCATTTAGTGTAAATTATAATTTGTGTTGTACATCTAAACAGTTAGTTTCAGTTCACCCCACATCTACCACCCACATGGAGATTCAGTGGAGACTCAGGATCAAAGAAGGGAGAAAGAAGCCCCATAAGTTTTTTATTCTTTAACCCTGTCCGTACGCCCTGGGGTCATTTTGTACCCCCGGGGTTGTATTCTTCGCATTTTAGAGTACTTCTAGTATGAAAATCTCTTTTAAACTTTCAGTATTTCTCAAAAAATCATTTTGACATACTGCTACGCCAAGCGCATGGATCGGATTAACGAGTAAATTTCCTCTTTGGAAGATGGTGGCACAGAGTTCCCCAGGTCGTATGGATACGATAGTAAAACACGACGTATGGATAGGGTTAAAGTGAACCAAACACTTTATTTTGTCTTTCACTTGGAACAAATATCAGCATTAGCTACATAGTTTAGACTAATCTCACAGGTTTGTAGTGTCAGTTTAGTTTTAGTAAGAGTTTTACGGCACTCGCAACTGCATACGGTCATATGAGCGCCATTGTAGTGTCATCAAGAAAAAACCCCCATCTCTTTCAAAACTTAACTACTTGTGATTATAATAATATAAACGGAAATTGGAAAGGGGTGCAGAAGTAAGACTAACTTTTACCTTGAACGTGGCATTGTAAACTGATGTAACAATGGACCTTCTCATAACATCATTGATCTCATCTAAGATGGTCACACCTTGCTTTATTTGACTTTGCTTTACCCGAAACCTGGATTAAGCATGATTTAGCTACTGATCATACTACTGATTGAGTGCAGGACCAATTCAATTTTCTTTTGGCACAGAAATATAACCTTTAGGTATAAAAGTGTTATCTATTTATTTTTATTGTCATATAATTGACGAAATAAATGGTTCAAGCCACTGAGTGAAGCCTTGATGAGAATTAGCTTGATTAGGATAGATCTAAGATATATAGTCTTGTTTTTTTATTAGAATCATCTGTTGTGTATTCTACTTGCGAACAGTCCAAGAACACCAACATCATTAAACATTAATAAATGAAGCAACTTCTCGGGTTGTGTTCCAGAGTTTAATATAAGACTTAAACTTTACATGATTGTGACTTGTGCTGCCGTAGGCTAGACATCTTTGTTGTTTATGCTATAGGTGTGTTGCTCTTTTCTTGCTCTCAACGATACCGATATATACTTACCATTACAGTACTCGTAATGGAATACTGAAAGTGGGTACTTATAATGTTACATTGTCAATGATAATTGGCTGTGATGCTAGTTCTCTGTAATTCCTGATTTTAAAGTCTTTTAACTCCATCATGAATGTATCTGTCGTCTTTGTGTTTGGTTGTGTATATAGATGGAGAAATCGGTTATAATTGTTTTATTTTTTAAAAGTTTAAAATAAAAAGATTTTAAACTTGCTTTTTTTAGTGGGTGGTTGGCGGGTGCTCTGATGTGGTTTGCTCTTTCTTTCCTATAAAAAATCTATCATCTCTAACTCCCCTCTTTCTTTTTTGTTTTTATTACTCTCTTGTAACACCTCTAATCTTCAGCACTTATATGACTTTATTTTGTTGCAGGTGCCGTAAAACTTACTAAAACTTATAAAAACCCATAAACTTGCTTTTTCTTTTGTGCAATTTCCAGAGGAAAAGATTGACCCAGAAATATTGGCAGCTCTTGAGGAGGCTCCAGTTGTTGCTATAGATGGTGACGATGTCGACGTGGATGAAGGTGGCGCGGGTTTTCTCGATGATGATTTTATTGTCAAAGCAGGAGGAATGGCCCCACAGGAGAGAGAGACTGGTGGAGACGGCGAGTTTGACATGTAAGCTCGTTTTGTTCACAATGACAAAATAGTTGTTTACTCGTGGGTGGTTGGTGGGTGCTCTGGTGTGGTTTGCTCCTTCTTTCCTATCAAACATCTTATCGTCCTTTTCTCCCCTCCTTCTTTTTTTGTGTTTGTTACTGTCTTGTAGCACCCCTAATCTTTGGCACTTATATGACCTTATTCTGTTGCAAGTGTCGTAAAATACTTACTAAAACTAAAGTTGTTTACTCTAAAAAAAAATTTAAGCTGTCTTATTGAACTCATGAGGAGTGGGTGGTTGGCGGATGGTCTGGTGTGGTTTTACTCAGTTTTTACATTGAACAACTATCATCCTAAGTTCTCCTTTTTTGTGTTTGTTACTCTGTTTCCTCCGAGCTAACGGCGAGCTTTGGCACTTATATGACCTTATTGTCTTGCAAGTACTGTAAAACTCTTACTACTAAACTAAAAGATTATTAGGGTGGTTTCTGGAAATGGATGTTTTTAAGTTATTTGAAATTTTACATTGTGGCATATTTTTAATATATCTGGTATCCATCTGTACTTCAACATTTTGTTGGCTAAGTTCTGTGTAGTTGCTGTTGAATACACGCACAATTTACACCCTCAAGTAAACCCATGAGCTGTGGGTGGTTGGCGAGTGCCCTGGTGTGGTTTGCTTCTTCTTTCCTATCAAACATCTGTCGTCTTATCTCCCCTTTTTCTTTTTTTATGTTTGTTACTGTCTTGGAACACCTCTAATCTTCTGGCGCTCATATAACCTTATGCAGTTTCGAGGGCTGTAAGACCTCTACTGTAAGACTTCTACTAAAAATATACTAAAAACCCCATGAACTTTGACTGCCATTGACAGAATGTTCGCTTGTAAGCTTGAGATATTTTTGCCTCAGGGCAATTTTGTTCAAAGTGTACTCTATAGTTAATCAAAAGCACTTTGGACATACAACTTCTGAGGTCATGATATGGTGTTATTATTTTCAGTGTGTCCATCGAATATGACAAGTTCTTCTCTTTGCCGTGGAAACTCAAAACATTTGTTAACCATTTTTGTTAGTTGTTATCTTTTATAGCAGGGTTGGACTAAAATGTACTTTTTTTTTTTTTCATTTCAGGGATGACAGAGAATTTGATTTTGATGATGAAGATGAAGAGGAGGAGGATGATGATAATGAAGATGTTGATTCTGAGTTTTCGGACAGAGTTAGTGACATAAGTCTAGAAGATGATGACAGACTCGGGACCCGGAAACGACAAGGAAGAGGGACTGAACAAGATGACATCATAGAGGCTCAGACAGCCTTGGTAAGGAGTTCCTGGCTCATCTGATTTCCCTCTTCTATGGTCTTGTATCGTGTATGGTATTTGTTTTACTGTCTCCACTTTCAACACAGAAAGGTATTCAAGAGGCACAGGATCTCTGAGTGGTTGGTGGGTGCTCTGATGTGGTTTGCTTCTTCTTTCCTATCAAACATTATCGTCCTTATCTCCCTTTCTTCTTTTTTATGTTTGTTTCTCTCTTGTAACACCTCTAATCTTCTGGCGCTCATATCACCTTATGCAGTTGCGAGCTCCGTAAAACCTCTACTAAAACTAAGACCCAGTTGCTGAAGTTATGCTATGTCTATGACCATACTGTATAAAGAACAGTGCGTACTGACTTCAGCAAAATTATGAATATCTCTATGATTGTATTTGTGGTTCATGAAACAAGACTTTGCTATGTTGAGGATAAGAAAGAAGTAACAGGCAGGTTTACCGTACCAATAATTTGAAACCTGAAAAAAAGGAAAGATTTTTTTTTAAAAAGAGAAAGATTTTACTTCAATAGGCATCTGACTGTGACGACATAACTTTTTGTCATTTATGTGATGCTAAGATGTGTCCTAATTTTCTGCAAATTGACAGTGGACCTCTTTCTAATTTTTTTACCCTTAGATTCTGAGGAACTTTGAGGAAGGCATTGGTTTCCGTTGCTCTGCACAGAATCTGTCAGATGATGAACAAGAAATGCCTACAGCAGAGGATTATGAACGTTTAAAACACATCATAGGGCAGGATGAACTCAAGCCGAAAGTCACGTAAGTGTTGATGAAGAGCGATGCCGGGCTGTTGTGTAGCAATATTCTCCCATAGCCTGCAGAATGCACTCCTGGCAAGAGGGGAGATCTTTTTATTGGCAAGACAGATCTTTTTACTGACAAGACACTGACTTTACTTTACTTTACTTTTCCGATCCAGCGGCCATTTGGGTTCTAGCCCTTCGGTCTGTCGATATGGCAAAGAATTGACAGGTTTTAATCAGCTGTGCTTTGTCGCTGTATAGAGTGTTTCCGATGTCTGGGGAGGCAGGTAGGTAAGTGCTACGCAGGTCACAAAGTGCAGGGCAGTTAAAGAGGTGGTGGGGTACTGTTTCATCCTGGCAGTCGCACAACGGGCAGTCGGGTGGGGTATCCTTGCGGATCCTATTAAGGTAGGAGTTTAGTGGTATGTGTTGTGTTCGCAGGCGAAATATTGTGACTTGTTCTCTTCTACTCAGGGAATTTATTGCATCTTTAGAGTTGGGGGCTGTCATGTGTGCAAATACAGTTCTTCCAGTTTTGCCCATTGCCCATCCATTCAGCCACTGTTCCCTGGTGTTGCATTTGATGATGTTCTTGGCTGTCTGTTGTGATACTGGGTTGTGTGGTTGTGTTTGTGATGCTCCCTTCTTGGCAAGGGTGTCTGCTCTGTCGTTTCCTGGGATGTTGCTGTGGCCAGGTATCCACTGTAGTGTCAGGTCGACGGCATAGGTCTGTAGGAAGGTGTTGATTGTTTGAGCCACAGATAGGCAGGCTGGGCTTTCGAGATTCATGTTTTCCAGAGCTTGGAGTACTGACTTTCCGTCTGTGAAGATAATAGTGTTCTTGATTTTGTTTGGATATGTTATGAAAATGTTGGTCAGGTGGAGGATTGCTACTTCAATGGCGATGGCCTCAGCCTCGTAATTTGTGCAAGAAGTACCACATGCGTCAAATAGCTCTTCACATGTTTTGTCAGGATGTTCAATTCTTACCCCAAAGCCTGCGTTTATAGTTCCCTTGAAGGCTGACCCGTCTGTATAAATATGAATTGAATCACTAGGGTAGGAGTCAATTGTCTTCAGAGCTGTTGTCTTCAGTTCTACTGGGTCACATTCCTTTTTCACTGTCTCTTTTATGAGGGAGGTTTTGATGTTGGCGTTCTTGATGTTAGTGTTTGGGGGGAGTTCTGGTCTTAAAGGTTTCAGCATTTCTCTGTTACATGGAAGATGGTGTTTTTCTGCTAGTTCAGTGGCTGTGTCAAGTATTGATCTTTCATGAATCCGTTTCTTTGGTCGTCTCTGTTCAATTATTTTCCTGTTTGGGTGGTTTTTCTCCAGTCTTTTGTAGCGCTCACTCATCTCTACTACTGCTGCCTCTCTCCGCAAGTCCAGGGGTTCCAGGTTCGTGTAGATTTCACAAGCTGCAGTTGGAGTGGATCTCAAAGCTCCGGAGATAAATCGTACAGCTTGGTTTTGAATTTTGTCAAGAGACCTCTGAGTTGGTTTCACTGACAAGACGGGAGATCTTTTCACTGACAAGACAGGAGATCTTTTCACTGACAAGACAAAGCTAGACATGAGATTGAGATCTTTTGACTGACAAGATGGGAGATCTTTTTCCTGACAAGACAGATCTTTTCACTGACAAGACAGGAGATCTTTTCACTGACAAAACAGGAGATCTTTTCACCAAAGCTTATGCTCCCAGGGTGTAGATCTTTTTCTTAGCTTTCCTATTTGATTATTTTTACCCCCCGGGTGATGTTACTGACTGAAGTGTCTTTAAGCCATTCCCAAAGGGTAGACATTAACTGTGTTCTTATGCACAGTAGAATTGTAATTGTAAATGGGCTGATTCATCAATGTCATGCTCATAACTGCCTGAACTGCAACAGGGAACTGCTGCTTTTTCTTTCCTAATCCTTACTATCATCATTTTCCCTCTACTTCTTTTGTATGTTTGTCACACTCTTGTGACCTGCTATTTCCGGGTGCCTTGATAGTCGAAGAAAACTTTGTGCTGTAGAAGCTAGAGAGGTGAGCAGAGTAAGCCTGATTCCCTGTATGGACTTCTTGGTTGACATCCACCCCTTGGCGCTCATATATGACCTTATGCAGTTGCGAGCGCCTTAAAACCTCTTCGAAAACTTAATTATTGGAAGTGTTAAAGGCTCCCATGGACACGACTCTAATGTGCTTATCAGGGCTCAACTGTGCTGACTGTGACCCAGATTCCTTTGAGACAGGTGAACATACTCAATAAAATGATTTTTGGGTTTTGGGATCAAAGTCAGTTCGGGGGTTCTCGTGGCCTAGAGGTTAGGGTGTTGGCCTCTCATTCAAATGTCCCGGGTTTGAATCCGGGTAGCGACTGAAAAATTTTCTTCTCTAAAATTGTCTCCTTTCACCTCCTTTCCTGCTTTATAGCAATGTTCTGTCGTCTGCTTTCGTCTCCTCTTTCTGCCCCCACCCCCTCATCTCCTTTGCCCCTTCCTCTGGGCTCTTGATTCTTTCTGCAGCCTTTCTATTGCTACTTCTTCGCTTCTTCTTACTGCTATCTTTCAGCCACACCCCTGATCGTCTGGTAGGAAAGATCTACACCTAGCCTTCTCGGACAAGGGTGAAAAATCTCGGAGGGCCCGTGTGCAAGTTGCATACGTTAAAGATCCCTTGGTGGTCTAAAATCGACAAGAGTAGGCTTCGGCCGCCACCCGGGCAAAATTCAAAATTTCCTACCAACTGAAAATATTAGGTGTGTCCCGCGCGCTCATATGACCTTATGCAGTTGCGAGCGCCGTAAAACACTTTACAAATACAAAAAATAAAGTCAGTTCTGCTTGCAATGGTTAAGAACCTGAATGGTTACACCAGTCATGTAAGTTTTTTTGTCTGAAAGAAGAAGGGAATTATTGTTAAGAAAAACCCAAAACCCTTAATATTCATTTTGTGAGTTAGGTACTTGATGTTCTTTGTGTACATAAATAAGTTAATCAAAGGCTTGTGTCTCTAGTGGCATCAGTAAGCTCCTAATAAAAAAGCCATTTCTCAAAATACTTTGACTTTGATTGCTAAAGGGGATTTTGTGACCTCAATTGATGGTGGTGTAGTAATCTAAGGCCACTTATTTTGTAGCACAACCATATGAATTTCTAAACATTATATATATCGAGATATTTCTTTTTGTCTGGTGTATGTAGCATATTATTTCTGCTGTGGTGTCCTTTTCTTTCATGTAATCATATGGTGGTGCATTGAAACAGGTTCTAAATATTTTTATCCTGGCCAGAGGTTTGTCAGTTAAAAAAAAAAAGATTAACAAAGAATTCCTCTCCTGCTTCATTATTGCTGTATGTGACTTTCATTTATATGTCTCAGGTCCGGATGGAGTCCGGAACAGCTGATAACAGGCAGTTTTTGAGCTGGATCTAGTCATGCTCATTGGCCCAAATGCAAATTGATTTATATGTTTTGAAAAGAGATCATGTGCCACAGAAGCATTGGTCAACTTTTACATTTGATTTCTTAGGCAAGAGTTTTAAAGTAATTTTCCACTTTGATGTGCCTGCCCTTTTTTAAAAAGAATTTTTGCGAGTCTAATGTATATCCCCCCCCCCCCCCCCCTTACGGTCTTAAGACTATATATTGAAAGAATAATTTCAATTTAAAAAAATATTCCATTTTGTGTCTGTACTGCACATCTACTACCTATTTAACCCGTAAGAATAATGTTGTTTTGTATGTTCTTTTTTTTTTCTTCAGATCATGGGCTGAGGTTTTAGATGATAAAAGTGAAAAGCCTAAAATCGACTCCTCGAAATATCTGTATGAGGATGAAGACGAGTATGAGTGGAAAGAGGTCCCTCCCAGCAAGCCCAAGTATGACTGTGTCAGCATTCTCAGTGAGTCAACTTAGTATTAAGAATATTCTTTTTTTTTCTTTTTTCCTTGAAAGTGTTAAAACTGAAAATATGGAAAGATGCTTTGCAGACTTTAAAAAAGAAAATTTTGTGCTACCACAGTTGTTCTTTTATATGTTTGTAATAACTTACTACCCGTCACACCATCTGGCAAAGAGGGCAGCAACAAAGGATCTCCAGCTCTGTCTGTTTTGGGCCATCTTGGTCAACGTCCCCCTCGAATGGTTCCAGGACTTCATTTCAGACTCTGCTGTGCGTCTCCAGGTCACTTTGGGTCTGCCCCATTTGTTTGCAATACCATTTGGGTTTTTTTCTGTGGGAGAAAAAAAAAAAATAAGGAAAAGTATGAGTTGACCATAGCACATTGATCATAGCACATTGCCCTTTAACCGCCCTCACGATCCAGGCTGAGTGACATCCCAGCAGATGGTTGGAGACACACAATCAGACCTTTGGAATTGAACTCATGTCTTCTGCGTGAAAGAATAGCCTTACCATTACCCTGTAGATGTCGGTATAATTTTTCAGAAGAGTGTCCCAGATTATTTTGGTGTAATTTAGCCACCATTCTACCATAAACAAAGACTTAAAATTGAAAAGATTTCCCCCCCCCTCCTTCCAATAGATCAATTTTGCATTGAAAGAACACCAACCTTTTGTCTTACAATATAGTTATTGACTATTGACCGTTTCATAGTTCTTTCGGAATTCTGTGTGTTACGACGTGGTGGAATCAGGCGCTCGTCAATTTTTGTGCATGTGAAGTTATTGGTGTCATCATAAAGCTTGTTCATTTATTTTGCTTTGGATTTAAAAAAATACTCATTTATCATGAGCAGTAGTGAAGATATTTGTGATTGAAAGAGGTAAGTTCACTTGCCTTCAGTGGTAAAAATAGCGAGAAAATGACTGCCAAAGTTTGGTAACTTTAAGAGCTAAAGAGTCCTTTAAAAGGGAAAAATTACATATTTTGAGCTTTTAATCAACATTTTTCAATATAATTCACATGGAAATGTGGTTCTTATTTGGACATAAAAGGGTTGAACAAAAAAACAAAAATTTGATTAAAACTGTGTGAAACAGGTGAGAAAATGCCTGTTTCTCCTATTTTATTTTTTGACGAGCGCCTGATTTCACCATGCTGCCTCACATTATATTAGTAATGGTAAGATTCAGCTGTGTTTATTAGAGCTTGTTTTGTCTGTTATCTTTTGTTTTGAAGTGCTCCGATGAATGATGGGTGCAGTAGTATGACAACCAACACCCCCCCCCAAAGTGTTGTTATTGTACTAACCTCTGTTCTCTCTTTTCAAAATGTGGACATTATCCCAGGTGGTTGGCGGGTGCTTTGGTGTGGTTTGCTCCTTCCTTCCTTCCCATAAAAAAATCTATCATCTCTATCTCCCCTCCTTTTTTATGTTTGTTACTCTCTTGTAACGCCTCTAATCTTCGGCACTTATATGACCTTATTGTGTTGCAAGTGCCGTAAAACTCTTTATAAAAAAAAGAACATTATTGTGATAACTCACTAGTTCCGGCTTATTTCTGCTTACAGAATTTGAAAAAGTTATCCTTTTCCTCTGGACTTTGTTTTGCAATTTTGACATAGGTCTGAGATTCAATTCATAGCTGATTCGTTTCAATCTTTTTCTACTTTTTTCTTTAGGTTTGAGGTCTAATACAAAGAACCTGCCCACAGACTTAATTCCTCCTCTGAAGGCCAAGGTAAGTGGACCAAAAGAAAAAGTGAATTGTTCTTCAGTGAGCACGAGTGGTTGGCGGGTACTCTGGTGTGGTTTGCTACTTCTTGCCTATCAAACATCTATCTTCCTTATCTCTCCTCCTTTTTTGTGTTTGTTACTCTCTTGTAACACTTCTATTCTTCGGCACTTATATATGACCTTATTGTGTTGCAAGTGCCGTAGAACTCTTACTAAAACTAAAAAGTTCTTCAGTGAGCCATTATGTATCTTATTTAACTCTTTTGACTACCAAGGCATTTTCCGCGCTGTGACCAAGGCATTTCTTAGTCTTAGAATTTCAGAAGTACCCCTGTTCTTCTTTTGTGTCTGATGGGCATAATTCCATCTGGAAGTCAGACATGTTACATACCAAAATGAAGGTAATTGAATGTAGAATATTTTTAATCTAATTAAAAAATTGAAAAAAATCATAAATCCAAACAAACATGGGAGGTAAGTGAACACAAGGTGAAAAAAATAAAAAAATAAAAAAAATATTTTCAACTTACATTTCTCACAGTGTATAGCAGCTAAATCCAATTACTTCATGACTTGGTCATACTGAAGTATATCCAATTGTCTCTAAGTGGGCCAAGTTTCATGCACAATGGTCAAGTATATACAAAGTTGTCGCACTTTTGGTGAAATCACTCACAATGAAAAAAAGAGAAAAAAACGATTCACACAAGCCCCTCTTTTCGAATATTCATTCTCATTGCTGTCGCTGCTGTCCGACTCGGGTCTAACTTCATCACCTCCTACATCACTATCGGAAAGTACTGACAGTTCCCCATCAAACTTTTTCAGGGCTTTTGAAGCAGAAAAACGTTGTGACGGGGGGGGGGACCTGATGGGTTATCCAGCCATTTTTCCGTTGCTATGCGTGTAAACTAATTCAAGCAACACAGGGTGGGTAAAAAAAACATGAAAAAATGCCAAAAAAACAGCAGAATAAAACACAAAAGGGGCCAAATTCCTTCACTGGTTGACTGATGTACGGTAAGCAGAGCAGTTAAAAACATGAAACGAAAAGGTTGAGTCAAATTGTGGAAGGGAAAGGGAAAGAAAAGTGCGAGCCGATAATTCGGCTCTTGGCCACGAACTAGGAAGTTATGGAGCCGATAGATCGGCCCATGGTAGTCAAAGAGTTAAATACGCATGAATGTTTACGTTCTTTTATGAATGGATAAAATAAGTTTAATTTTAGAAGCTAAACTGGGAATTGAATCCATGATGTTTATTGGTTTGCAAAGACGTCTGCGCACTAAGAAGAGCTCAATGCAGTGAAGGATGCACTTTAGGTCAGTTGCTTCCCCCCCCCCGTGCGAATAGACGATAACAGATGTGATTAGGATTGATTATTTTTGTATTACAAGCGGAAATGGAAAAGGCATGGACATCATGGAAACAGCTAGAAAAGGATGTACATGACAGACTTTGCTGGAGAAATGCTGTTGATGGCCTATGCTCCACTGGGAATTAAAAAGAGAGAGAGAGAGAGAGAGAGAGAGAGTTGTAAAACAATACAGAAACGACAGAAGGAAAGAAAAATGTAAAACAGAGAGAGAGAGAGAGAGATTTTTGTATTAAGTCTTCTCCTGTAGCTGCCACAATTGTCAGTATGAGTGGTGTGGTCTGTAAAGTGACACTGGAGACTTGTCGATATGTGTTCAGGCAAGCAATACTGTTTTTTTATCAAGATCTAGACTCTATAAAGAGTTAAAAAGGGAGATGTGGAGAATGGCTTTGAAACCGCGTCAATTTCTGCTGGAGAGAATAGAGATAAAAAGAAAATTACAATCTACTCGACTTACAATGCTTCTTGTGACCCGCTATTTCCGGGGTACCTTGATAGTCGAAGCAGACCTTGTGCTGTTGTAGCTAGAGAGGTGAGCAGAGTAAGCCCCTGATTCCCTGCAAGGACTTCTCTGTTGACATCCACCCCTTGGCGCTCATATGACCTCATGCAGTTGCGAGCGTCGTAAAGCCTCTACTAAAACTAAACCTCCTTTTTTTGTGTGTTTGTTACTCTTTTGTAACACCTCTAATCTTCGGCACTTGCATGGCCTAATTGTGTTTCAGGTGCTGTAAAACTCTTACTAACCCTCCTCCCCTCGGGGGGGGGGGGGGGAAGTCACACCGCCACTGTGAGTACAGTGACTTTGACACACGTGTGTGTTTCCCCAGACCAAGAAGAAGCAGCTCCAACAGTCGGACGGTGAGTCCACCACGTCAGCAGCACCCGGTCTCAGCCTGAGACAGCTGGAGGAGGAGATGAGAGAGAGCCGCCGGGCTGACAAAGCCAGCACCTTCCGACCGGAGGACGAGACGGCCGAGGAGAAACGCGCCAGGAAAAAAGCCGTCAAGGATGAGCGGAAGGTTTGTCGTGTGTGTTGTTAATGTTTTATTTTTCAAAGGTTTTTTTTTTTTTTTGTGTGTTTATTTTGTAGTAGCTTTTTGTTGTGTCTGTTCAATGAACTGAACTTGGTTAATCTGAAATCAGTGGGTGGTTGGTGGGTGCTATTGTGTGGTTTGCTTCTTCTTTCCTATCAGACATCTATCATCTCTACTCTATCTCCCCTCCTTCTTTTTTGTGTTTGTTATCAGATGTTTTTTTAGGGGTACTTTTTTTATTATTGGAGCTGAGTTGTCCTTTAGGTTTTCTCTCTTGTTGGCAGGATGCTCGTTTGAGAGACTAGAAAACTGATTTTGAATCTCTTGACAATATTGATCTCTTTTTTGTTACACAGTTGATTTTTTAAACTAGTTTCAATTAAGGTGAGTTGTGTGGCAAGTAGAATGTACTTTCTTAGGTGTTTTTGGGAGTTGAGTTTTAGATGATTTCTCTCCCTGTGATAGGTTACAGTTGTTTGGTGGGTGGTTGGCGGGTGCTCTGGTGTGGTTTGCTCCTTCTTTCCTTTAAAAAATCTATTATCTCTATCTCTCCCCCTCCTTTTTTTTTTGTTTGTTACTCTCTTGTAACACCTCTAATCTTTGGCACCTATATGACCTTATTGTGTTGCAAGTGCCGCAGAACTCTTACTAAAACTAAAACTGAACTGGGTTTTTTTTATGTGAATTAATTTTTGCCCCCATAAACACAATTTAGATCGTTTAGAAGGCAGGTTGCAACTCAACCATCAAGGCCTAACCCTTACTGAGAAGACTACACACAGCGGATAAAATACCGTCCAGATCGCTCGTTTAGTTTTTCTGCCCTGGTTCCTCCCCGACCATCCTCACCACCCAGCCTGCCCTGCGGACAGCTCAGCCCGTAGTCATAAATCACTTGTCAGAGGGGTTAATTGGGGTGACCGCAGCAACTCCTCCTGTGCCGGAGCAGCAGTAAATATGTCGTTTTAGTGCGAATTGAAAGCCTCCTAACTCTGAAACTGTAAATGCTACAAAGCCGATTGAGATTTCATTGTAACGTGCTATGTTTGACCTGTAAGCCGGTATAACTTGTTTTCTTGCAAGTTCGATTATCAGTTTTACAAGGGATTTAAGTAAGTCTGTGATTTTCAAACTGGCAATACTCAGAACTTTTTTAGTTTGGATTTAGATATTTAAACAGAAATTCACGTATCAAGTGTGAAAACAATTTTCATTCAAATGTGCAAGTTTCAAGTGCACTAAGTTATTCTGTGATTTTCTGTGATTTAAAAAACCCCCAAACCAACCCACCACTGTGAACGTTCTTCCTTGCTGTTTTTAGTTTTCTTGCCTCTACTACATCTGATTTTTGTTGTCATTTTGAACAATATTTTCGTCATGGAGTGCCACACTCAACGTGATCATATGGAACGCCTCCATGAATTGTGTAGGACATGTGGTGAGAGGTGTTTGACCAAAAAAAAACGTCAAAGGAGGAAGGCGTACAAATTTGTTGACTTTATCAATGATATTCTTTTAGTGTTTGGCATGTCGGTGAGAGAAGACAAGGAAGAAGATTTTTCCAAACACATTTGCTTCTCCTGTGTCAGTAGGGTACGACAAGCAAAAGCAAATGGATGTGTTGGTACGGTTCAGAAAGCACGACAATTGATGCACGACAGCAAACATCTCTGGGTGAGGTACAACACTACGACAACGGTTGCTGAATGCCCAATTTGTGAACGTTACAATCAGACCGGATTGGGTAGCAGAAATGTAGGAAAGAACATGGCACAACAATCCTCACAGACACCAGGAGCAACAGAGACAGCAACATCATCCCAAGATCCACTCATACAAGATATTAATTCGACATCATCATACACGCAGATTGAGAAAGAGACAGATAATAGTGTACACAAACATCAAGATCAGAGCACTGCATCAGAACAATTGCGGGAAACAACTGGAGCAACAGAGACAACATCATCATCTAACGATTTACACATTAATTGCACATGGAAAGCCAATCACTTTAGAGAGAATACCACTTATTCAGTCCTGAATCACACGATATATGTCTTTATACAGAAACATATTTGGCAAAGAAAAGGTCATCCCCAAACAACACATCCTTGAGAAACACTGCGTTCCTTGGATACAAAAATATGGATTTGGAATGGCCTTCCATGGTGAACAAGGGGGTGAGCTCATTCATGCAACCGTGGCCAAGCTGGAAAGACGAGTAGCAGCCATAAAAGATAAAGAAAAACACATCCGAACAATCATGCAGTCACAACACATCCAAACCCACCCTGAGCTACTGTCGTGTGCACCACCCATCAAAAGGCGAAAGCGTACAGCGGAAAAATGAGACAATTCCTCCAGTCAAACAATATTGTGTTCTTTTTGTATGTTGTGTTTAGGTTGTGTTTTCATAAGTGTATCGGCAGGAAAGATCTGTTCTGTAGTTACATGTATTGTGGATATCGCCATGAAAGATCAAGGTCGCAAAGCAAGAGTATTGCAAAAATCAACTTCAAACCTGAATAATTACGGATCCAGAAGCTTCTTGCATATGCCCCTTTGTGGGTACAAATTTCATTATGTTCTCAGTCCTGTGTGCAAATTTGATTGAATTTGTTGGGGGCAATCACATTTAAGTTGTTTATAATTGATTAACCGTGACACATTTATCAAATTAAGCCCCCTTTTTGAGAACTTCACAGCTTTTAAGTGTTATGTACCATGGTTTTCCGATTTCTTAATTTTTTTCCTTAATATGTTGAATATTTACGTGGTCTTTATTAAAATGGTCATCTTACGTTAGCTTTGGCTCACTGTGTCGGTAAACTTTGCAAAAAAAAAAAACAAGAGCGCTGCCGGTGTTCGGCTGATAAGGGAAATCCCCGGCGGCGCAGGTAAATGACCCCGTGACCTGGGGAAGTGCGGGCTTGCTTGCCTCGTGCCAGCCGAAACTAAATGGGCACTCCAAACCCGCCATGTACAATGTCCCAGCAGAAAGCCTGAGATACTCGCTAAAAATTCTACCCACACTGGAATCAAACTTGAGTTTTCTGGGTGTGAAGGCGAAGCTCTGTGTATCATAGACACAGACAGCTTCTTCTTTCCAATCAAACAACTATCGTCCTTATCTCCTTATCTTCTTTTTTATGTTTGTTACTCTAATCTTCTGGCGCTCATGTTACCTTGTGCAGTTGCGAGCGCCGTAAAACCTCTATTAAAACTAAACTAAGCTCAGACAGCTGTTGATGTATGTAATGCTGAGGTCTCCAGTACTTGCATGTTACGGCGGCTCTTCTTGAAGGTTGTGACTGCAGGAAGGGAAATAATACTGGCTCTCCTCGCCTGATGCTTGCACAGACTTGTCATTCATCCCGATTTAGTCGGGACATTCCGATTTTTCCCCCCAAATTTCAAGCATCTTGATTTTTTACGTCTGTCCCATTTTTTTGCTCTGTCTGATGCGCCGGATTAAAAAAAACAAACTTACTCTGCCTTCTTATATTTATAGTTACCCCTGGAAATTTAAATCCCCTTGAGATCCTGATTTTTAGATTTCATAGAGTGACAGGTCTGCTGCATGCACAACCAATTTAGGAGATTTTTTAACAGTTCGTTTTTGCTCCCAAGAATTTTGACTTGACCAAATTTGTTTTCATTTACAAGTTTGATGACTTTTGCTCATTTGATTTTTAAAAAAAAGAGTGGGTGGTTGGCGGGTTCTCTGCTGTAGTTTGCTTCTTCTTTTCTATCAAACATCTATCGTCCTTATCTCTCCACCTTCTTTTTTATGTTTGAAACTCTTGTAACACCTCTAATCTTCGGCACTTATATGACCTTATTATGTTGCAAGTGCTGTGAAATGTTTTCTAAAACTAAAACTAAATTTAAAAAAAATTGTTTTCCCTTCCTTTTCCTCTGCAGGAAAGAAGACAAGAGAAGAAAGCAAACAAAATGGTGTTCTCCCAGGAAAAGAGCAAGATGAAAGTGGAGTCTGCGGCTCTGTCGAAAGCTGTGAAAAGTATCAAACTGACATGAGTGACTGACAAGTGGAACGTGTGTGTCTGTGTTTGTGTGTGTGTGTTGTAGATGATCGACTGAATTAACGACAATGGGTTCAGGTAAAGCCTTTTGGCAAGAAGGTTTAACAAGAAAACATCTCTAAAAAGCAACTTTTACGGGGTTTTAAAAAAAATCCACGGTTACCATGGTAACGCCACGGCAGCCATATTGAAAATAAACTGCTTTCATAAATCTTGAAAGGCTTTTTTATTTATTGACCAAATTTATTCAAATTTGGTACATTGATAGATATACTCAAAACAAAAATTTTATACAAGGTTTTTAAATATCTTGAATAGGAAAAAAGTTATAGATGGATAACTGACGTACCCCTTCACACCTCTGAATTTCGTTACATAGTAACCCATAACCATAGTATAATTGTACCTATTACATTTTCCTTTTGTATAAAGTTTGGTTATGATGTGGCAGATTTCACGGTGAGGACCCACAAGTTTCCCACTTTCCCAACTTTTTCAGGATTTGAATTTTTTCAGAAGGTTATGTACCCATTTTGTATCTATGGAAAGGTCTTTCAAAGAGGAATTAAATAATGTTAGTTAGAGAGACAACAAAGGCTTCTGAAAAAAGTTATTTAATAAAATGTAACCTTACCTTGGTGCAAACAATACACAACACTGCATTTGGCCCAGTCTGAGTGGTGAAAACTTTCGTCAGCCACACGTCGTAAAGCTGGGGAGTGTACTTCTTTCACTGACCAGTGGTGGCGCAAGTGTGGCAGTGGAGACTCAGAACATGGCTGTCGATTACTAGCCCGGTCAGTATGTCGATGACGCAGTCAATATACTGACGGGGAACTTGTGGCCACGCGTCCACCAGGAGCTAGGCCCACAGAGATAAGGCCTGATACCCATAAGTAGGTCAATTTGCTTGTGGGCTGACACACTACAATACGGACGAGGCTCAGGGCTAATTGGGCCGCGAGGCGAGAGAGGGGAGAAAACATGACCACACGATGAGCCCCCCGCCCCCTCCTCCCTCCAAATACCCCTCTGCGTGTGTATCATGTTCATTATTCCTTCATGTTATTCGTTGTTTGTTTGCTGATATGTTCTTATAATAATAGTATAATTAATAATAAGATCAATCATTGAAATAGTGAATACACATCTAGAATTTTAATGTGAACTCAAGGGGTGAGAGAGAGAAGACGAATTTTTAAAAATATGTTTTTTAAATTTGATTATATATATATAAAGAGAAAGAAGGGGGCAGAGAGAGAGAGAGAGAGAGAGAAGACGATAAGGGAAATGGGGAACATAAAAAACATTTTAAAAATAAAAATAAAATAAAAATAATATGACAATGAAGAGATAAGATGGAGAAGGAGGAAGGGAAAGAGAAGAACATGGCAAGAACTTTCGCCATCAACAACAACGGTGACTAAAGCAGCCATGTCAACAACAGCAACACCAACATTAACAGTAGCAAAAACTATTTCGATACTCACAGGTCTAATTTGATTTTGAAGAAAGCTTTGCCACTTTCCTTTTTGTACAATTTCCATTGTCCGATGTGTGGTGGAGAGCAAACCGCTTGAGGAGGATATTTGAAATTCGTCTTAGTGAGGCTTTTGACAATGTCAGCTCGATGTGAAATAGTGATGTAAAATCACTGAAAATGTTGATTAGTCGTGTCCTGCAAGATGGGACTAAAGATTTCTTGCAGAAGGCGTAACAATGCGCTGTCAGTTTATAGAGTTCCTCAGAAGGATATGAGAGACCTCCGCGGTCCATCGCCTCAGTATACCTCCTAAGTTCTTGAGGAAGACAGGTAGGGTCTGCCTTTAGGCTGTCCTCTTTTGATGCTATGTAACCACCAATATGGAAAATAGAAATTTTCTCGTCGGAAGATAGGGTGTCTACTTCTTCTGACAAGTCATCCAGAAGGAGTATTTCTGCATCAGTCAACTTTGTTTGACAGAGGTTACATACATGTGTTGAGTCATAGGTGATGACAGAATCGGACTCAACTTCCAGCATTAGTCGCGCACGGTCAATGCCATGTGTGTGGGCCACCTCAGCTACACTAATGTAATAATTGCATCCAGAAGCTAATCTGAAGTGACTGAAGTGTTTTTCAATGTCGTCTTGTTGAAAAAATCCAAGCGCGACGTACTGATGTTGAAAACAGGACGTGGTCTGAAGAAGGTAGTCACATACCTCAATAAGACACTTGCATGTCCACTGGAGTGCTTTGGCAGTGTCCATAGTGAGAGCTTGCATTCTTGGTGTGGAGGTGGGTTCCATGTGCCTTGCTCTCTCTGCCCAGTCCTTTAGAATGTGCAGCTGATGAGCATCGATAGAGTCGACTACTGCTCTGTCAGGATCACGGTGGCGGATGCTTTGAAACGGTGTTTTGCTGTTGAAGGCTTTCCATAGCCTGAGCACCTCATCAATAAAAGCAGCAGTGTCTTTAGAGGAATCTGGACTGACAGATGATGTTTTGAGAGCAGCACTGGTTTTCTCTGAAAATTCCTGAAGAGCCAGAGACACCTTTTGCTTTTCAATGTTGCTGGGTTGGATGGATGCTCTTGTAAGGCTGGATAGCTTTAGCATTGTTGCGTTTTCATGCTCATGCAGTGTCACGAGATCAGACCACTGGGCACTTTTTGTCTGGTTAGCACACAGAAAATTCAACGACTTTCTTTGGCTGGTCTACTGAATAGCCAAACAGACATCCCCCTCTGTATGAAATTGATGCCTTCACATAAACCTCATCGACAATGAGCACGCATCCTCTGCTCCTTTCATCCAGGGCACTGAAGACAGATGTAAACAAAGTAGTGTCCTGAAGATTTTTTGCGGTGCTCGTGATCTTTCGAAGAGTTGAAGATACTGTCTCAGTATGTCATACAGGGCTCGACTTTTGGCGTACCATGAGAGGGCTAGAGCCAAATCTTGAACTGAGTATATCCGTGTATTCTTGGGTCTATTGTAGAGGGAGACAGATGTACTCAAAAACTCAAGTTTTTTGTCAGTCGTGCTATCAAAAGCTATGATGAATCGCAAAAGTTCATCCAACTCACTCCAGCATTTAACTTCTTTGATATTAGGATGGGATATCAGTTTCAACTTGTAGTATGTCTCGTACTGGAGGGAGAGCCTACAATCATTTTTTGTTTCTATTTTAAAGTAAACACTATATGCAGGTACCGGCCCTTCTCTTGATCGGCGGCTAAAAGCAACAATTGTATTGCCTTCAGTTACACACAGTCCAAATTCTTTTATTCTCTCCTGAAACTGTTGTTGGAATGAATCCTCTTTTAATCTGTCCATTTCCCTGAATTGTTCCATTTGGTCAATGTCTGTGTTTCTCGCTTCACTGAGAGATTTTTTGGTGGGACGGGGTGTTGATGGAAATGGTGTCGGAACACAGGAACTTGGAACATTTGGAAAAATGGATGGAGGGACCATAGGAACCATCCATCTTCCACGACGTTCCATAGAGGGATATCTGGCGGCCAATGATGAGAGCACACACCCATGTTTTCCGTAACTTGTTCGATTGAAAGTTTGTTTGGTAAGCTATGTAACCACTTATGTCTGTCATTTTGATTTTTGGAAAATCCATACACTGTAATCTTTTCTCCATTTACGCTTCCCTGACTGTCATATCCGGTCTTACAACCAAACACAGAACATTTTCTCCCCATGATGAATAACTATAAGTCTCTCAAATTGTCTCTGTCCTCTGTTTAATCCACGACAGAAGGGCCGCACAAAGGAAAAATGAAAGGCCTTCGAAAATGAAATCTGGCTGACACAGTAGTTTTAGACGTACATCTAGATCTAGATCTAGATCTAACCTAGAATCTACACATAGATATTATATCTCCACGACTGTTTTGTTATTGTTGACAATAGGTTTGTCGCTAGATCTAGATCTTCTAGAGATCTATAAAAGTAAGCACAGTTTCATTCTCGTCAGTTCCATAATAATAAAGTTATAAAAATCTAGATCTAGATCTAGATCTAGGGAAAATTAGAGAGAAAATTCGCTTAAATTGCGAAAATCCTACCACCAACGAGGCTCAGTCAGAAGTAACCCATGTGCCATGTTGATGAAATGATTCACAAAGAAATACAAGGCCACGATAGATTTAAAACATGGGTTACCTCATGAGAACATCATTTAACTTATTGCCTATGCCTTTTAGTTATTAAATACTCACTGTAAGCACTTTAATCTAATCTCACAACACTACACCATCACTGCAAATGCTGAAGAAACGCACAATACTGCACGACCAATTCAAAAACGCCACCATTCTCCACCATAGGCCTGGCCTACTGGGCTGGACATACACTCACTGGCAGGTACTGTGTCAGCCCATAACACAGTCGCCCTAGATTCCGGCTGCCAGGCCCGCGAAGTGTGTAGGCTCAGGCCAGGAGCCATCCAAGCTAAAGGCAAGGCGATGTCCAACAAGTCATCCAAGCTAACAGCGATGTCCAGCGAGCCATCCAAGCTAACAGCGATGTCCAGCGAGCCATCCTCCTCGACACAGCCTATGCTTTAGAAAGCCTGACGAACGGCGTCGGCAGCCTGCCATACCCCTGAGTGACCTACTTGTTGAATGTCTTTGGATTAAGACCTGGGAGATCCAGGTGAGCTCATCATGTGTTGGACAGGTCTGGCCCCGGGCCAGACATCAGAGCCGCGGCCGTGGCATTCTGATTCACCTTGAACGGTTTCCTCTTTGCCGGGGCGCTGGTGTCGAGGGACGACGTGTGCTGGGGCCTACCGACGACGCTAAAACATTCTGAGCGGAACAGGGAGAGATAACCATGCTTTTCAAATTCAGTAAGAAACAGCAGATATTATTTTTAATTTCACTATATATGTAAAAAAAACCTAGATACCATAATTTGACCCCAAAATCGTAGAAATGCAGATGAGATACAACTGTGTTGGCACGTTTCCCAGTGTTGTGAGCCTCATCAGTAAGAATGTTCACCTGTGTTCCCAGTGCCTCATTATTAATCCCAAAAAGGCCACACTTTCGGGGGAGTCTTGAAATAAATCGTCCCTGCTTGCAGAGGATCACTTGGAAAATGAATCTGCTGAGCAAAGTTGAAAGAAATGTGATTTTTCCCTTGATAGAAGCAGTATGGATGGGGTCCTGGTTGTCTGCCTGCGGTAGTTGTGCCTTTACTATTTCACAGCTGTGTTGGTAAAATGAACGTTCATTCTGAACAATCTGCTGATGAGAGTTCAGATCATCTACTCAC